CACCCAGAGATCCAATACCCGTTAATTAAAGAATATACCGTAAACTACAGGGAGCTTAGTATTATGATCTGAGGTATATTCCTTAATTAAGGCGTATTGGGATCTCAAGGCAAGGAGCCTTAGACTTCAGGGTTTCAGGGGGTAGTAGGCTTTCAGGGTTTGAGTACTTCCGGCTTAATGTAGGAACCTGATTAAGAAACCTTGGGCCTTTGCTAGGGTTGCTTATATGAATCCCACTGTTTTGGGGTTATAGGCCCAGTGTTTCTTAATCAGGTTCCTTCATTAGGGGTTTGGGGTTCAGGGTTGCGGACTTTGGCTTTTGCATACGGAGGCTGCAGGATTTCACGTGAGTTGTAGTTTAACGATTTATTGTTTCAGATGTTGTCTATCAGACTGCTTGCTGTGGGGCTCATGAGAAGCCGGCGCGTTCTCAAATCTGGCTCAGGTGCTCCATAAATTGCTGAGCCCAATCAGCTCTTCAGCTGAAGCCCTCAAGCATGTATCTAGGCTCCAAGAAAAGGACTGCAATCTGGCATGTCGACCTACCCCCCTTCCAAAAAAGCCTGAATCGTTCTATGCCCCCAAACCTTGAGACATTGAACCCTCAACCTTAAACACCATCAAGTACGAACGGCGCGATAGCTCAGTTCACGCGGTTTACGAGTTTACAGGGTTGAGCTTAACCTTCACTCGTCCACCGGGCACCGCGTTTCGACGAGCCGCTGACCCCTCAGACGAAATTGTTAACAAAGAGCTGGTCTTGACAGTAGACAACAACGGAACAGACGACGATAATAATGATTACAATACCAGAAAGTTTATCCTAACCTCCGTCGTAATAATCTAGCAGCATAAGCAACAGGAAGCCCCCAAAGTGCGCAAGCCTTGGGATCATGGGAAACTGCTTACCGCAGTCTCTCCCTTTGCGCGACAGCGTCAGGAGCCCTTTTTTCCAAGGATTTAGGGTGTAAGATTTAGAGTGTTATAGGGTGTGGGGTAAGGTGGGTTTAGGAGGAGGGTGTAGGGTTTGGCGTTCATTGATGGTTGAGGATCTAGCGCCCTGGCTGATTCTGTGCTTTTAGGCATAAGCCTAGGCTGGTGCTCGTAGTCGGGGTCATTGACATGGAAGTTAGGGTATAGGGTGGAGGGTATTTAGGGTAAAGCACGGATCCAGGGTTCGGTTTGTTGTTTTAATAATTTTGGGCTCAACGGCGTTCGAGAATTGGGCTTGCGTGTGTGGAGAGTTTGCGATTAGTTGCTTGGGGTGAACATGTAGAGTTTCACAGCTATGCCGTCGGGTTGAGGGCTCAGAGGGTTTGTTTGGGGCACGTCCAGGCGTAGTATTTTAAAGGTTTTCGATCTCCAATAATATCACTGTTCGGTTTTAGGGTTTCAGTCCCGCTTAGTTCCCTTTACTTCCCTCGACCTTTGTTGTTTTTGTGGCTTGTGGCCTCGGGGTTCAATGACTGTGTACGTTCGGTGGCACGTGCAGCATGTAGATTGCATGCTTCAGGCTGATGGTTTGCAGAGCTACCGGTACTTAGCGAGATGTTGATGTCATTCCACCTCAGGCACTGTCGCTGCTATTTCCAGCCCCCGTGTTTGCTTGATTGATGTCCCAGGCTTTGTTCCGAGGCTTCGGCCATGTCGTGTAAGGGTTTTCTTGGTGTTCAGATCCAGGTGTCCGCCGCGGTACGAACCAGTTCGGACCAACACATTGAAGGTTTCTGTGTTGGGTATAGCAAGTCGTGCAGCAGTCGTTGTAGTAGTAGTGGTCGTCGTAATCGTAGTCGTCATCGTAGTCGTAATCATCGTCGTTGTAGTCGTGATAGCGGTTGTCGCAGTAGAAATAGAAGTAGACGTAGTAGAAGTAGTCGTAGTCGCAGTCGTAGTAGAAGCAGTGGCAGTAGCAGTAGCAGGAGCAGGAGCAGGAGCAGGAGCAGCAGCAGCAGCAGCAGCAGCAGGAGCAGGAGCAGGAGCAGCAACAGCAGTAGTGGTAGCAGCAGTAGTAGTTTATGTAAGAGTAGCAGTAGGAGAAGCAGCAGCAGCAGCACTAGTCGTCGTCATCGGAAACGCCGTACCTGTGTCGTCCAAAGCCGGATCGGTTTTTGACCCTTTCTAAAATGTGCGGAACAGGCAGATCCCGGGCAGAAGGGGCTTAAGTTAGCGTAGGTGTGTTGAAGTCAGCCTTGCAAGTAAGCATCCAATGATGGTTTCAGAGTTTCAGGCAGTACTGAGTAGTAAACAGCCCTAAAGTCCGTACATTCCCGCAGCGGCTGGAAACCGAAATCGTAAAACTGCACCAAAACACAGAAAAAGACGCAAGACCTGCGTAAAGCCAAGACCAAAGCCATAAATTACGAAGGGATCCCGAGTCTGCAAGGAGCTTAAAGTCTAAAAATACATCGTAGAACGGCCAACAGCATGCAATTATGCGTGTTGTCTCCAAAAAACCAAGCCGGGGGGACCATCAATCATCAGAAGCCCCACACGGCAAAAGCCATACACAAGTGAACAGTAGGAAAGCCGTAGAAGGGCGTATCAAGACGTAGAAAGTAGACCGATGCAGAATACCAGAGTCGAGAAGGCTGTCAGGGCAAAAACACCGAAAAAAAACACAAGGACATAAGCAAACACTTCCCGAACGTGGAACATTTAAAAAAGTAGGAGCGTGCATCGGGATGCCCCGGGTAGTGGTAGTAACCACTCCCGCCTCCATCGTGTACCGCATTTCCACCGCCATGGTACCGGCAGTTACTTCTGGATCACCTGCAACATTAGCAACGAACGTCATACATCGACAACAGCCGAGATGAGAAGGCCTCCGTCGTCGGCCAAACGTATCAGCACGTGGTTCAGTCAGTTTGCACCACTTTTCCTGGACATTCATCGGTGCAAGGCTATGAAAAGCTCGAAGCCCGATGAATTCACTAACTAAACTCCTTCTCGACCTTGGAAATTGGAACTTGATGTGTGCAATGCCGTTCGTCCTCAATCCTCAATTCCATCACAGTTCATCTGAAGAGGAGCACGATCCTCGTGGACCACAAGCCTGCCAAGTTGGAATTGCTTTCCACTCGGGACTGGGACGCAGTCGTGGATGTCGTCGCAAAGGCCAGCAGCTCGTTTTGAGCTCTCTGCGGAGAGCTGGGACCCAGACAGCCCGGTTCTCTTTCGTTAATATAAGCGTATGGATGAGGCTTGTCTGAGATGTTGCCAACAGGCCCAGTGTGATGCACTCTTGAAAGATAGGCTCTACCTTAACCCCGAAGCTACCGATCTGATGTAGATCACGGGAGTCACATCAAGGAACCCTAAAAATTGCAGGTTGCTTAGGAGCCCTAAAGCCTAACCCCTAAACCCTAAACCATCCTGAACCCTAGAAAGGATAGTCCTAGCCTTGAACTTGAACCCTCAAACGTAAAGCCACACGAGCTCCAAACCCCGTGCAATCGGAGCCAGGATATAGCTGAGGGTTCGGCGTGTAGGGCTTAGGGTTTAGGGTTTATGGACTTCATACTAATTGGTCTAGCTTGCTCTTGGAGTGTCTGGATTTGATTGTATGCTCTTTTGGAATCTTACTTGCTGCACATGACTATCAAGGGCTGCGAGGTTTCATGTAGCCTGTGTATCCCGCGTGATGTGGAATTTCAATGCAGGGACGCATGTCGGGCATTTAGCTCGAAACAACAGTAAACCCAAACCCCAAAACCCTACTGCAGCATCTTTGTTGAAGCACTTGCTGCCATGCTCAAGGGATTCTCTGACCCTTATCCCCGAAACCCTAAACTCTGAATCACCCTGCCCCTGAATCCTGAACAATATCCACTAAGCTCCCAAGCCCAAACCGAGGATTTGGGTAGTGGGGGTATGACAAATACCATCATGGTGATGATGAGCTTCTTATGGTTGGAAATGCATAAGTATACTAAATTTCAGAAAGAGCTATGTTTCCATGCCTTCCTATCAAAGTTTCCTCATACACAATACCTGAGCCCTAAACCCCTCAAGCCTAAATCCGAAACCGTTCTAATCATTTAAGCCTCAGACCTAAATCCGCAACCCCAAACCCCTAACCCCTCATAACCCTAAGCCCCTAAACCCTGAACACTAAACAACTAAGCCCTAAGCCCAAAACCCATAAAACCTAAACACTAAACAACTAAGCCCTAAACCCAAACCCCACAAAGCTTAAGAGGCCATGTCTGGAACGGAGACCTCGGCGGCCGATCCGCTCTTCGACTACGTCCTGGGCCCCAGCCTCGCAGACAAGAGCGATCCGAGGAGGAGAGGATTTAGGGCTTAGGGTTGGGATTTAGGGTTTGGGGTTCTTAGGGTTTAGGGTTTCTGGGTTTTAGGGTTTGGGGTGTTTAGGGTTTAGGGTTGGGGTTTTTGGGGCGTTTAGTGTAGGGTTTACAGTTAGAGTCTAGGGTTTCTCGGGTTTGATCCGAGGAGGAGAGGATTTAGAGCAGGGTTTGGGTTTACGGTTTGTGGTTTTTGGGGTTTAGGGTTTAGGGTTGGCGGTTTTTTGGGTTTGGGGTTTGTGGTTTGTAGGGTTGGGGCTTTTAAGGTTTAGGGTTTTGGTTTAGGGTTTATGGTTTTGGGGGTTTTAGGGTTGGGGTTTAGGGTTTGTGGCTTTTAGGGTTTTAGGGTTTTTGATGTTCAGGGTTTAGGGTTTTTAGGGTTTAGGGTTTGTGTTTTTTTCGGGTTTAGGTTTAGGGTTTAGGGGGTTTAGGGTTTGTGGCTTTTAGGGTTTAGGGTTTAGGGTTGGGTTTTTTAGGGTATAGGGTTTAGGGATTTAGGAGGAGAGAGTAGAGCAGTTTCCGGTCTAGACTTTTCAGCTCAAAGTTACTTGTGTAGGGTTTTTGCTATACTTACTATACTCGGTTTTAGTATACTATGGTATCTATCATACAACTATTACACAAGTGGCCAGGGTTCAAACCCTCAAGGCCCTCAATTCTTAAACGCTGACCTTCAGCCTACGACACCTCGGCAAGGATGGATTTCCTCCGATTCCTCGCTACTGGCATACTTGAAGAGGACAAGGGAGCCTATGCGTGGATTGAGGAGTCAGGGTCAGGTTAGGGGTCCTCATAAATAACATGAAAATTCTTAACTAAGCCATACCTGCGCGATTATGGTAGGCACTTTGATGCAGTTCTTGTACCAACTCATCCGACCTCGAGCATTGCTCGATTTGAGTTTAGAGGTCAGTTCTTCGTTGTCAAGGTTCCGAGTGCACTTCCGTTCAGCCTCTGCTCTCGGCAACAGGGCAATGCAAGCCCTCCAGAATCCGCTATCCCTTTTTGATTTGAGTGGTTCTCTAAATTGAGATCCATCTCAGGGTCCTTTGTACGTGGGTGCCGTACTACTTCGGGGAAGCTACTAAAGAGATCCGAATTTAGAGAACCAGCCATATGGGGACACTAGGGTTTTTATGAGCTATACCCAGCAAATAATGGTGCATAACCTACTATTCTGTAGGGTTTGGGGCTACAAGAGGGCACAAAACCCTCAAACCCGAAGCCCATCATGATTCATCGAAACCCCTGTACCAACCGTCAAGCTTCTAGCAAGGTCTATGGCCTACGTCCTAGTTTGAACTAACGCCATGCCCGGGCTTTCTAGGCTTCCTATTTAGAAGGGTTGCCACAGGGGTTCAGGGTTTAGGGACAGTGTAAGGGTTCCGAAAAGGGTTATGCAGTCATCTACCCTGAGTCCTTGCTCAGGTTCCCGGAGGCCTAGACTCTAAACTCGAAGACTTTTCTTTTGGGGGTTCAGGGGTTGAGGTTAGGCGCTTAAGGCTTGGGATCTGAACTTGGGGTTGAGGGCTTTTGGTGTTTGGGGAAACCTTGTGACGCAAGATCACCCAAACCGACAGGACTGGCGCTACTGCCCATCCAGTTTGGGCATCGTTGGCCTTGTCGAGGGACGACTGGGTGCGTGCTGCGTAGTGCGACGTTATGAGCCTCTCAGCTGGGTCTTCACGGATTGGGTCTTCGGTTGAGGGGCTGTTGGGTTGGGGATTAGGGTTGAGGGCTTTAGGGCATGACCTAAACTTACTCCGTGCTTTCAAGAAAAAATGAGTCGCGGTGCAGGGCTCGGCAGATACCGGCAAAAACTAATGCGACCTGACATGCACAAGGAGGAGTACTGTTTTAGCAGCCTGTTCCGAATGATCACCAACCAAAACCCTAAGTGTTAAACTCCGAAACCTACAAGCCTAAATGCTATAATGAACCCTAAATCCTACAACCGAGCCCTTATAGGCCCTAAGCCCCATGCCTATACCCTAAATCCTAGAAATCTTCTCGCCGTGGGCCTTATAAGCCCCCTAAGCCTCTAAAACCCCGACCCTAAACATTGAACCCCGAGCCGTGAACCCTGTACACCTTCTACTGAAACGCAAGGAAACAACTTAACGCAAGCCTGGACCCTATAAACCCTATAATTAAACCCCCCTTGAAAACGGAAAACAATTGAACCTAAGGCATCTAAACCCCAAACCCTTAAAAAAATAAAATCCTTAAACCAAAGAGCCCAAGGCATGGCTACACCACGGAGCCGCGAAGCTGGGGAGAGAGGCTTCGCGAGAAACTGCTGCCCTTCTGGTCCCTGCTGCGGTGCAACAGGTGGGTTTAGGGTTTAGGGTTTTTGGGGGGTGTAGGGTTTAGGGTGTTAGGGAGCGTCTTAACAACGAAATGCTTTTCGAAGTGGTAGATCGAACTCTTCCAGAGTCAAAGCAGGGATTCAGGGTTTTCTCGCAAAGTCCAACTGGGCCCTGGCTGACCTACCGTTTTTAGGCATGTGTGCTTCGTTTAGGTGATGTCAAACGCTAAGAACAGGCTGCAGAGTCCACTCACACCCCTGAGGTCGCCGCGGGCAGAGAAACCTTGGGTCATTACTAGGGTTCCTTATCTGAATCCTTATATATTGGGGGTTATAGGGCCACGGGTATCTTAATCAGGTTCCTACGTCAGGGCAAATACTACTATTTGCTTAAGAACCCCCCAAAAAATAAAAATAATAATCCCTATATTACCCCCATAAGGAATATATGTTTTATTTTTTGGGGGTTCTTAAGCAAATAGTAGAATATGCAGTTCTGAAATGGTCTGAACCTGGAGATCCAAAACCCTGCCGTTTCAAGGGTTCTACCCTCTACTTCAGGGGGTCATAACCTGCTGTTTTGTACTTGGAGGTTCATGGGTAGTTATAAGTGGAGCTATAAGTAGGGTGACTATAATTATCAGCCATATTAGGGGACTTATTTCTCCAATTATTTCTACCCATGAACCTCCAAGTAGGGTTTGGGGGACGCAAGAATGTTGTAGTTTTGCATCGCAGCTTGCGTAGGAGTTTGTATGGTCGTGTACAGTCATCATGTTGTGTACTATATACCGCTGACTATTGTGCCCAAGCCCTCTGAGTAAAAGGTTAGCGCGACCGCTCATGGCTTAACGGTTTTGGTGTATTCTATAGGTTATCAGCCGTATTCGCTGACTTTGTCTCCGTGGTATTCTTACACTGGTATTCACACTGGTACATGAGTACTTCGCCCTCTCTGCTCACTACTGAGAAGGGAGAAACAACCGAAGTATCATCGGACGAGATGGACGACGAAACAAGAGATCGACTGCTTGATGAACAACTTACAGCAGCTGGCGCGGGCCCTACGGCACCGAGCTCAGGATCCCAAGCACTTGATAGGATCTTCGGTCCAGTGGGTCCTACCCTATCTCCATTTGTCTCAAATCCAACGGTCGACATCTCAAACGTGCAGTATACCTTGTACAATGTTGTGAACCAGGGTGAAACAGCCGAACAACAAAGAATGGCAATAGAGCGAACGGAGGCAGATGCTGAAAGAAGACACGCAAGCATTCTGAACCAACAATCGCATGATAATCTTGTGAGAATGGCTGGCATGGCTGAACAGGCCGAGCGCCTTCATGAGGTGAAGATGGCAGAATGCGAAGCACAGTTTGCGGAATTTGAGTTCAACGCATCCCAAAGGGAAAAGTTTTTGTTGAACGAAGTTGCAACATGCAGGAATGAAATGAACATTCTGGAATCAATTTTCCAACAACGACATCAGTCGGAAATCGCTAAGCTCAGAACCACTCTGATTGCTGAGAGCGAACGCAACAAAGCACAACATCTTGATTTTCTTGGAATCCGATTCAAACAAGTTCTTGAAGAAACCGAAGCGAGTATGGAACGGCGTTTCATTACTGAAATCGCTGAAATGAGTGCACAAAACGACAGACTGCAGGATGAACTGGCTGCCGCAGAACGAGCCCTAAGAATGGAAGCCAATGCGGACGAAGCGGGCAAACAATATGCCACGCCGAAGCCAGGACCTAATCCTGCTGTCCCGTTCTCAAATCCATTTGAGATTCCCGAGAACATGAAGGACATCTTCGGAAGAACGCCGCAAGCTCAGGAACCTCCGCAAGGAACTTCTGTACCACCTGGGTTTGAGAACAGAGAGCCACAAAAGGAAAAGTCTCCTAAAGCTGCCCAAACGGGTAAGCCGGCGACTGTTGATCCAGACGGGGTTCCACATGTTGATTTCGGAGCTGAGGCGCTGATTAGGGCAGCACGCTTGCTTACCCCTAAGACCGAAGATGAAGAGGGCAAACCAAAGGTGAAAGAAGCCGAAAGTATCAAGCTTCCCGATTACCCTAATCCAGAGACCTACCGATCGTGGCGAATCTCGGTCCGCGAGATTGTGCGGGCTGCGAGCGATCGCCCGGATGAGGCATTTCGCTGGGTGCAGGAAGTATATGATAAAGAGGCTACCCTCAAGTCCTTACATGACACTGGGAAATTCTTAACATTGGACACGAAGTTGTTGGCTGCACTTACCAGAGTCGCTAGAGGAGAGATTTCAAGGCAAGTCCTAAATTTCAAAGAAACAGAGGCCACAGGAGGACGCGCCGTCAGGGGACGACAAGTATTGTGGATGTTTCATCAACACTTTAAGACTAATGAAGAAGTCGGAAGCCTCTATAGCGTAGAAGACCTTTTAAAAGTGAAGTTGGTTGGGGACGACTTGGCTACCTTCCTTTACAACTTCGAGTCGGTGATTGCTGGAATGAGTCATGTTCCGGATGAAGTTACCTTGAGGGACATTTTGCTGAGGGAAATTCGGAAATCCCACCACATCAAGTACGATCTTCAGCTGTACGACAGGGCAAAGGAAGGAAACCCCGTACACACATGAATTCCTTGTCAATGCCATTAGGGAGCATCTAACTAGAGAACGGATGCGTAAGAACCGTGACCGCATCGCTAAGTCGCATGGCGATAGATACGGGGCCCCAGCGTACGGATCTGAACGTCGCCCCTCTTCGCGAGGAGGCCGTGGAAGAAGCATGTCCCGAAGTAGCTCAAAATCCAGAACAAGCAGCAAAGGATCGAGCCAACGAACACCGCCTAGATCTCAGAGTCCCAAAACACAACAGGTTTGTTACGACTTCCAGAAAGGAAAATGCACAAGAGGCGACAAGTGTAAGTTTCTCCACAAACCAAAGTCAAGATCCCCAAGTCCTCATCGAACGCCTCAAAAGAAGATCAACGCGATTTGCACCTTTTGGAAGAAAGGCAAGTGCAACAAAGGCAAAGACTGTAGGTTCCTGCATCAAGATAAGCCCAATCCAACTGACGCCGCTCCTACCGAGCAGGCCGCCCCTGCGAAGAACGATGAAAAGCCTAGGAGCCCGACCCCGGATCCTAAAGCAAAGAAGGAAAAGAAACACAGGGGCAGGTCCAAGAGCAAGGAAAAGTCTGGCGGACGCACGGCAGCTTGTTGCATTTCGTATGCGCTGGCAGCTGTGCCCAATGGGCAAGGCGTTAAGGGTGATGCTTCAGGAACGTTCAAGAAATTAAGGTTCAAGGAGAAGCCAAGCATTCGGGAGATTCCATTGGATGGTAAGGGTAAGAAGCATAGGACCAAACCGCGAACTTTCGAAGTTTGTTACTTGGATGCTGAAAGCTGCCCAAAGCCTCCAGTTCAGGACCTAAGCACGGCCATAAGAACAGCGAACGAGCTTGCCAGGATCATGTCCTGTATGCTCAATGGGATTGAAAGCCACTGTGAGTACGAGTGCACAGATGACTGCGAAGAGGGTGAGATCCCAGTTGCAGTGTTGAAGTGCGAGCTGTGTTCTAGCGTGGAAAGAACAGCATGCTCTAGCTTTAATGCGGGATTAGAATTCCTCGCCGATACTGGCAGTGAAGAAGATCTGATCAGTAGGCACGATCACTCTATCTACTATCCCGAGGCTCCCATCGAAAACGCTAGTAGGCCGGTCAACTTGATTACAGCTAATGGTCCAGTTCAGGGAATCAAGTCAACCAACATCCCGATGCCTGAACTGAAGCAAAACATTGAGTGCTATCTACTGGAAAGCACGCCACCGGTTTGTTCTGTTGGGAGAAGATGCATGGACGATGGATATGATTTCCATTGGCCTGCGGGCAAGGTTCCATACTTCATAGCTCCCGATGGTAAAGTCATCAAGTGTAAGATGAAGGGTAGAGTCCCAGTGATCTCAAATGATGACTCGGTAGCGAGCCCAGCAAGTGCTGATGATTCCCAGAAATCTGCTGGAACTCAGGTGTTTAACGCCGGTACAGTCAAGGTTGAACTGGCGGCACCTGCGGAGGACGAGTCTTCGGGTTTCCAGTAGAAAGCCGTCCGAGAGGACCGGCCGGGGATGAAAGAGTCGTTCATAGCGACTCCGAGATAGAAGAAGCAATCAATGCTGCACCACCAATTGCAATCAAGCCTAAAGATTTAGCCAAGCCAGGTTGGATCACTAGCAGTGAAATTGCCGCATCAAAGATCATTATTGGTCATCGGCCAAAGGCTTTGCGAGTACCTGCACCTCGTCATCCAAGGTTCGTGCTAAGGACCACTTGGATCTACAAGGACTCTGCTTGGAGCAAGATTGAGGATTCTGTTGACATCAGAAGTCTAAGGGTTAAAAATCAAAAGAT